AACCTATATTCTGGACTACAGACTAGAATATATTCCAGACTATAGACTAGTTTTTACTATACTCCAGTCTATAATTAGATTATATCTGAGGTCCGAGGCACCAATTATAACTTTTAATAATAATTGTTTAATATTAACTTTTACTAGAACTGCAGGGACATTTGCATGCGTGTATGTGTGCAAGAGAGTGAGATCAAGAGTGAGAGGTTTAAAACTCTGCTATGAATATTAGTCCGGCTTAGCTTCGTTATAAAACTGGTTTGTGTAAAACTGATAAACGTTTTTACACTGCTTTATTCTTCCTTATAGAGAACTATTTTTAAAGAGGATTTAAAATTGTTTTTTTTTCGTGAGCCGTTCTAATACATATTGATACAAGTATGTAACTGTGTAGCTTTATAAATTAGAGTGGTAATGTATTAAACATAAACAAAATACTCCTTGTTTGTGTAAATATTATCCTCGACTATTGTTCTTTCATATTTATGCATGTGTTGGTAATATAAATGTATATGATACAATTGTCAAGTGGTTTTGTAACTTTTATCTTCCTCTCTGTTTCTATCTCTAACTATTTCTACCATTTTTTAGTGTTTTTATTGTTAACTTTTGTCGGTATGAAGTGTTTTATATCTTTATTGTAAAATCTCTTTGTGTTTCGTTTTTTTTTTTTTGTAACTTTGGGCCACAAATTGTGGGCTGTGAGTGTATGTATGTTTATATATTTGATCCTTCTCCTTTTAAGTAAGTGAGCATTTTGTTGTTATTTTTGGGTTTCTTTTAGTGGTTTTAAACAAAAAAATTTTTTGTTATTACTTTTACTACAATGACTTTTCTTATGCTCATTTTTGAAGAAAAAAATCTTATTTTGTTATTATTATTTTGTTGTTGTTGTTGTTATTGTTATTGTTGATTTAATATTAGTCAGTTTACTACTTTGAGTTTGATGTTTTGCATTCGTGAACGTTAAATGAAAATAAAAGGTTAAAGTTTTTAAGTTCAAAGTGAAAAGCAGAAAAAACTTCAAAAGTTTTACAACTGTAAGTGAAATGTTTTTTTTAACAAAAATCGTAAAATGATCACAATTGTTGAAAAAGCACTTTACTAACTACAATTAAAGTTAAATCGTGTTTCTTAAATTATACCTCAGATGGCGGAATAAAAGTTTTTTTGGGGGATATTAGCGATGTCACATCCACAAGCTGATGTTGTTTGTTATAGGAGTTATGTACTTGTATTTATTGAAACCTCAAGGTGTTTACGAGGTGATTGTTTGCTATTAACATATTTTATGTAAAAAAGTTTTGTTGTGTTGTTTTTTAATACTGATGATGTTATACACTTAAATAGCTTGGTAGCAATAACTTTAGGATTGTTTTTTGTATTATTTTTTCAATAAATTTTCTTTTTATAAAAAGGTTTCATTTTCTTTTTGTTATTAACAACTTATATAAAACTATTTTTGTTAAATAATACTCACATTTAGTTCCCAATTTTTAAATGATTGCAACAAAATATAAAAAAATTTCAAATTAGCAAAATGCTATTAAAAACAACCATAAATTCCTTACATCGCATAATACGTTCCCTATAATCATCATCTCTAATTCGTGTGCCATCTTTATACACCGCTTCCAAAGGTAAAATATCCTGCAGTAAAAAGTAAAAACATTTTATCAAAAATATGTAAAACAATAACTATTTTACAAATAACTTTTACCAAACTTGACATATTTTTATTAGTTCTTTTATCTTCTTGACTTTGTTTGTTGGCACAACCACTTTCAATGACACTTTTCTAATAAATTGCTAAAGATTTTCACTTCTTTGCACAATAGTTGCGTGCACCTGGTATTTTAAATATTTATATAATTTTTTCTTAAATAAACATATTGCGGTTAACTATGTAAACTAAAAAATCATAGCAATTTGACATTTAAACTAATTGGCACTTTAGTGTAAAATTGTGATACTTTAAAGTTGAGAAAAATGCCTGTCACTTTATTACTTACGTGTTTTCTTTAACTTATACTAAAAATTTCTCACACAGTCATATAAATATTTGTCTCAAAGTGCCAATTAATTTAGAAACATATATTTTATTTCTTTTAGGTACATACATACAATGACATTCATGTAAGTTCCTTAACTTTTAAATAGAAATGTTAAACTAAAGAATTTGGGAAATATGGCAGGTGTTTAAAATAGTTTAAACTGATTGAGACTAAAGAAATAATTTTATTAAAATGTTTGATACATTGTAGTTTTACAACCAATATTACCATTATAAATGTTTTGCTTTTTATCTGAAGAAACGAATATGAGGTGTTAAATGGGTTCTTTAAACTTTATCTAACAATGACCTCTAAAACAGCTGATAATTTTTTTGTGGTTTATTGACATTCCAAAATATTATAAATGTTTGTTGATGGAAAAAGCTGTAAAAAATTGTGTACAACAATGCGTATAAGTGGTTTTCATTTTTGTATGAAAGCGAACATAAAATATAAATCATACGCCCAGGTACACAGTGTTGGTTTCAGTGTCAACGAGATGTTGTTGTTTTATATTAATTTCAAATGTATTCAACGCCAGAAACTAGCTAACTAACTAACTAACTAACTAACTAACGAAAACTAACTAACGAACTAACAACGAACTAACTAACGAACGAACTAACTAACTAACTAACTAACTAACGAACGAACTAAACTAACGAAACTAACTAACTAACTAACTAACTAACGAACTAACAACTAACGAACTAACGAAAGAACGAACTAACTAACTAACGAACGAAGAACTAACTAACTAACTAACTAACTAACTAAACTAACGAACTAACTAACTAACTAAAGAACTAACGAACGAACGAAAACGAAAACTAACTAACTAAACGAACTAAACGAACTAACTAACTAAACGAACTAACTAACTAACTAACTAACGAACTACGAACTAACTACACTAACTAACTAACTAACGAACGAAAGAACGAACGAACGAACGAACGAACGAACGAACGAACGAACGAACGAACGAACGAACGAAAGAACGAACGAACGAACGGAACGAACGAAAGACGAACGAACGAACGAACGAAAACGAATAACGAAACGAACGAACGAACGAACGAACGAACGAAACGAACGAACGAACGAACGAACGAACGAACGAAAACGAACGAACGAACGAACGAACGAACGAACGAACAAGAACGAACGAAACGAACGAACGAACGAACGAACGAAGAACGAACGAACGAACGAACGAACGAACGAACGAACGAAGAACGAACGAAAGAACGAACGAACGAACGAACGAACGAACGAACGACGAACGAAGAACGAACGAACGAACGAAAAAACGAACGAACGAAAACGAAAACGAACGAAGAACGAAAACGAACGAACGAACGAACGAACGAACGAACGAACGAAACGAACGAACGAACGAACGAACGAACGAACGAACGAAACGAACGAACGAACGAACGAACGAACGAAGAACGAACGAACGAACGAACGAACGAAAAAAAAGAACGAACGAACGAACGAAAAACGAACGAACGACACGAAAACGAACGAACGAACGAACGAACGAACGAACGAACGAACGAACGAACGAACGAACGAACGAACGAACGAACGAACAAGAACAAGAACGAACGAACGAACGAACGAACGAAACGAACGAACGAACGAACGAACGAAAACGAACGAACAAACGAACGAACGAACGAACGAACGAACGAACGAACGAAGAACGAACTAACGAAAACGAAACGAACGCAACGAAGAACTAACGAAACGAACGAAGAACGAACGAACGAACTAACGAACGAACGAACGAACGAACGAACGAACGAACGAACTAACGAAACTAACGAACGAAACAACGAACGAACTAACTAACTAACGAACTAACTACGAACTAACGAACAATAAACTAACTAACTAACTAACGAATAACTAACGAACTAAAACGAACTAACTAACTAACTAACTAACTAACTAACGAAATAATACTAACAACTAACTAACTAACGAACTAACAAACTAACGAACTAACTAACTAATTGCTCTCTTGAAAAACATACATATAAAGACAAGTAAGGAAGTATAGTCGGGCGTGACCGACCATACGATACCCTACACCATTTATGAACATTAATTGTAATTTTCATAGCAAAGCATTTACCATCTTCAATATCACATTCGTTCCGATTTAAAAAATTTTGCACTGAAAAACAAATTTTTTGAAAGTGGCTTCATACGGGCGATATGGACCGATTCCAAAAAATTTGTTGGATAGATTTATATTTATATAATATTAATTTGTACTGAATTTCATCGCAATATTAGTGTTAATATGTGAAACTAATATTGCTAGGGTCAAATGGAACCCGATCATTTTAAAATACCGATCATTAGGAATATTTACATAATTATGAGCTCAAAAGCCCTTTTCGGGAGGACCGATTTTTACCATTTTCAGTAGGCTTTGTCCTTGATTCAAGAGAAACGTATGTGCTAAATTTCATCAAATTATCTTAAAAATTGCGGCCTGTATTTTCATTACATGTACAATATGACTGACGAACATCATTAAATTGACTCAGAAAGTGATTATAAGTCAATCAGTATATTTTAAGGTATGCATAGTACTAATATTTTAGTGCGTTACAAACATCAACATGTATAGGGTATAAAAATTTTGATTTTCTTTAAATACATATTTATTTGCACAAACATAATATATTAATGAATTTGTCTTTATTATTTGTTTCGACATTATTTGCAATTACAAACGTCATGTAAGATCAAATATATATTTACAAAAAATTATCAAATAAATATTATACATATAAGCGTGAACGTTTAGTATATCATGATCATGCATTAAACTTCGAAGGTGCCAAAATTCAAAATTTTTTGTTTTAAAATTTAATTTTTTAAATTTACTTACTCTCCCTCAAAAAAAAAAAAACAAGACAAATCTAACCCAGTTTACCAAAGTTTTACTTAAAGTGTACAAATATTAAATTAAACATAATAATTACAAAACCATATAGTATTGCTTAATAGAAAATACTACACAAAATATGTATGTAGATATGTATGTTCACTGTTTACTGCTTCATAAATTCTCCATTTTTGCCATTACATAATATTTTCAAAATTCTTTTTTGAAGCCGGATCCATTGCCTCCTTGCCGCGCATGAAATATGTTAATAAATCAATGGGTAGTGGGAATACAATAGTTGAATTCTTTTCAGCCGAAATTGTATTGAGAGTCTGTATGTGAGTGAGAAAGTAGATGGCATAAATAATTTATTTGTAGTTTCAGAGAAAAATAAAAAAATGAAATATTATTTATTTATAAACATCTATTTACCTGTAGATAACGTAATTGTAGAGCAGCCGGTGAATCTCCAATTACCTCAGATGCCTCGCGTAAAGCACGTGATGCTTTTTGTTCACCCTCAGCTGCAATGACTTTAGCACGAGCCTCTCGTGCTGCCTCTGCTTCAGCGGCCATGGCTCTTTGCAGTTGTACGGGTAGGCGTACATCTTTACTAGAATTTTTATGGTTTGATAGAAATACAAGAGATTTAATTTATCTGTTAAAGGTGTAAGATACACAAAAAATTTACTAACATTTCAACACGTTCGACTTTAATACCCCAAGCATCGGTGGCTTCATCCAATTGTACCTGAAATTTATATAGTTGAGAAAAAAAAATATGTTTATAAATTAAATAAAGATTTTTGAAGAAATTTGTTATTAGGGTGGCACAAATTTTGTTTATTATAAATGACTTGATATAGAAAATTTTCTATAAATTTTCTTTTTAGAAAATTTTCTATTTTCCATAAATATTCTTTTTCTAGAAAATTCTTCTTAAATTTTCTTTTTATAGACAATTTTCCTTAAATTTTCTTTTTATAGAAAATTTTCCATAAATTTTATTTTATAGAAAATTTTCCTTAAATTTTCCTTTTATAGAAATTTTCCTTAAATTTTCTTTTTATAGAAAGTTTTCCTAAAATATTCTTTTTATAGAAAATTTTCCTAAAATATTGTTTTTATAGAAAATTTCCTTCAATTTTCTTTTTATAGAAAATTGTCCATAAATTTTCTTTTTATAGAAAATTGTCCATAAATTTTCTTTTTTCCATAAATTTTCTTTTTATAGAAAATGTTCCTTAAATTTTCTTTTTATACAAAATTTCCCATAAATTTTCTTTTAATAGAAAATTTCTCATAAATTTTCTTTTAATAGAAAATTTCTCATAAATTTTCTTTTAATAGAAAATTTCTCATAAATTTTCTTTTAATAGAAAATTTCTCATAAATTTTCTTTTAATAGAAAATTTCTCATAATTTTTTTTAACAGAAAATTTTCTTTTTATAGAAAATTTTCCTAAAATTTTCTTTTTATAGAAAATTTTCCTTAAATTTTCTTTTTATAGAAAATTTTCCTTAAATTTTCTTTTTATAGGAAATTTTCTTTAAATTTTCTTTTTATAGAAAATTTTCCATAAATTTTCTTTTTATAGAAAATTTTCTTTAAATTTTCTTTTTATAGAAAATTTTCCTTAAATTTTCTTTTTATAGAAAATTTTCCATAAATTATCTTTTATAGAAAAATTTCCTTAAATTTTCTTTTTATAGGAAATTTTTCCATAAATTTTCTTTTAATAGAAAATTTCCCATAAATTTTCTTTTAATAGAAAATATCCCATACATTTTCTTTTTATAGAAAATTTCCCAAAATTTTTTTTGTAATAGAAAATTTTCCTTAAATTTTCTTTTTATAGAAAATTTTCCATAAATTTTCTTTTTATAGAAAATTTTCCTTAAATATTATTTTTATAGAAAATTTCCTTCAATTTTCTTTTTATAGAAAATTTTCCTTAAATTGTTACCAGACAATTACATAAAACTGAATAGCACTTTGTGAAATTTCGGAAAAATCATTGTAACAACTATTTCAGAAAAGTCTGTTGTGAAATTCTTAACGACTGTTGTTTATAATTTTATCTTTCTAAAGGGACATTTATTGGCTTCAGTTTTTAATAGAACATTTTATTTTAATAGAAAATTTTCCATAAATATTCTTTTTATAGAAAATTTCCTTCAATTTTCTTTTTATAGAAAATTTCCTTCAATTTTCCTTTTGTAGAAAATTTTCCTTAAATTTTCTTTTTATAGAAAATTCCCTAAAATTTTCTTTTTATAGAAAATTTTCCATAAATTTTCTTTTTTTAGAAAATTTCCATAAATTTTCTTTTTATAGAAATTTTTCCATAAATTTTCTTTTTATAGAAATTTTTCCATAAATTTTCTTTTTATAGAAATATTTCTATAAATTTTCTTTTTGTAGAAATATTTCTATAAATTTTCTTTTTGTAGAAATATTTCTATAAATTTTCTTTTTGTAGAAAATTTTCCATAAATTTTCTTTTTATAGAAAATTTTCCCTAAATTTTCTTTTTATAGAAATATTTCTATAAATTTTCTTTTTGTAGAAAATTTTCCATAATTTTCTTTTTATAGAAAATTTTCCTTAAATTTTCTTTTTATAGAAAATTTTCCTTAAATTTTCTTTTTATAGAAAATTTTCCTTAAATTTTCTTTTTATAGAAAATTTTCAATAAATTTTCTTTTTATAGGAAATTTTCCACAAATTTTCTTTTTATAGGAAATTTATAATAAATTTTCTTTTTATAGGAAATTTTCCACAAATTTTCTTTTTTACATGAAATTTTCAATAAATTTTCTTTTTTGAGAAAATTTTAAAATTTATGGAAAATTAAGAATATTTTCCTAAACTAACTGCACCTTAATGACCATGGTATAAAATAATTCTCTCTCTATACATATTAATGTTTTGTGTTCTTTAGCCATATTTGAAAATTTTCATTAAATCTATAGTATAAATACTACATTTACAACCCACCTGCATAGTTCCCGATATTGTCATACGTTCACTTAAAATTTCATGCAAATGACGTGTGCCCATTGTATTGCGTAGAGTGGTCTGTGCCAATAGTCTCGTCGAATGATGAGCATTTTCAACGTTGGCCACTGAAACGGTGGCATTCGATACACGATAATAGACAACGGCATCGACAGAAACCGTTACACTGTCCTTGGTTAAAACCTAAAAGATAAAATATTTTAACTTAAATACATTTTTATTCTATTTATCTCCGCTGGTTGTTTTATATGAACAAATTTTATTATTTAAATTTTAACATAATTTTTTTTTTTTTTTTGCATTCCTTCCTGTGGTTTACCTCTTGGGGCGGCACATCGTAGGTACGTGTACGTAAATCTACTCTGGCATAGGCATCAATGCAGGGTAAAATAAAGAAAATTCCTGAAAATAAACAGATAAAATAAAACATAGAATGAATTTGTAAGTAACTAACGTTACGAGTATTTTACGCTTTTTATTTTTAATGGTTTTATTATATTTTTCTTTATTCTTTTTTTTTTTGCCTTAAAAACGTTGAGAATTTCCATAATCCTTAAATGTTACTTGCTCATGCCAAGCAAAGGCAGAAGACAGAAAATTATGTAAATTTATAACGTTGATGTTTAAAAGATAAAGTTTAACATAATGACTGGGTATATGTAAGCAAATTGATAGTCTATGGATTTAAGGATTTTTTCAGTGTCATTTTGGAGTACAGAATGATTTAATTAAGATTTTAGTACTGAATAACATTATACATTATGGGAAGTTTAAGGGAAATTATTTAGAAAGTTTATTTAGATGGAAATTAAGAAATTTTTAAAGAGATTTTGGAAGTTGACTTAGAAGGGTTAAGTAGTTATGAAAGTAACATTGTTGATAGCATTATCATACAAAGTATGTAAATGATGTTTTTGAAGTATATACACAAGTATATGTAAAAACAATTAAGAATGTATAGTCTGGCATGGCTGGCTATATGATACCCTACACAAATTAAATTGTATCGATTTTTGTAGAGATATTAGAACATTTAACATACAAAATAATGAGCTCAAGAGCAATATTACATATATACATAAAAAATGGACAGATATCAATAGGCTTCGTCCTTGTTCCAAGAGAAAAATATGTGCCAAATTTCATCAAATTATCTTAAAAATTGCAACCTGTAGCGTGCCACAGCTTACATGTACATACAGATGGACAGACAGACTGACAGACGGACTGACAGACGGACAGACAGACGGACAGACAGACGGACAGACAGACGGACAGACGGACAGACAGACAGACGGACAGACAGACGGACATACTGACAGACAGATTTTAACGACTCAGTAAGTAAAATCTACAGTCAAGTCTACTGTCTAGTCTACAGTCTAGTCTACAGTCTAGTCTACAGTCTAGTCTATAGTCTAGTCTATAGTCTAGTCTATAGTGCCAAATTTCATCAAATTATCTTAAAAATTGCAACCTGTAGCGTGCCACAGCTTACATGTACATACAGACGGACAGACGGACTGACAGACGGACAGACAGACGGACGGACAGACAGACGGACAGACAGACAGACGGACAGACAGACGGACATACTGACAGACAGATTTTAACGACTCAGTAAGTAATTCTGGGTATTACAAACATCAGCACAAATGCATAATATCTCCTACATACCCTACACCACTATAGTGGTTTAGGGTATGAAAACTTATATTCTTGAAAATCTCTCCTAGCATATCCTGAATGATAAAGCAGTGCCTTAAGACTTTGATCTAGTAATGATAGGCTGACTAGTTGTCTTCCCCGGGACATGTTATCTTCACGAATCTCTATTCCTTTATTGTTATTGCGATCTGGGGAATAGAGATGGTACCAATACTTCTGCTCAGTCGGGATCGTAACAATTAATTCGGGATTTTACCGAACTTCTTAGCTATATGAAGCCACGGTAGTTAGTGGCTCGTAGAAATTGCTCTGTACTGGATATTGGTATGGTACCTTCGTGATACACATGGTGGCTGTTGGTTGGTTACAAGACCAATATTTACAAATGCTACATACTTCGACTCAATAGGTAATTAAGAGGAAGTTCCTAGATTCCTCTTAATTACCTACTGAGCCGAAGTATGTCCTTCTCACCCTTCTGTAGCAGGTGCCTTCTCACCCTCTTCCAATGTCATGAAATTGTTAGGTTAACACTTTCTAATTGTTGCCTGACAATTGTATAAAACTGAATATCACTTTGTAAAATTTCGGAAAAATCATTGTTACAATTACTTCAGGATAGTCTGTTGTGAAATTCTACACGAATGTGGTTTATGTTTTCCTCTTCCTAACGGGTCATTTATTGTCAACTATATGACAAGTTTTATTCCACGGTGAATTCAACTCACCATGGATGATTGATTTTGATTTTTATTAGCCCATAAATCGGTCTAACAAATATGTATCAAGATACTGATACTCTTGTACCGAAACAACAAGGTCATCTGAGAATGATTCTCTATGGAGGATGCGTTATTGCTCATGACAACGTTGATCTTGGTGATCGGTCTCTATAGTTAGGCCGAGGAATAGTGGCACATCAATCAAGTGCAATTATTGGCATTCAAGGGAACCCCTCTCTATTAAATCAACTAGTTGATTGGCTCCTATTCGTTTTCGAGGTATTTATAAGGGTTTTTGCCATACTTGTCTCGTAAATTATTAATATTTCTACTGGAATTTGTATTATCAGATTTCATAAGGCAATGACCTAAATTGCGTAAAGTTTCATTAAAAAACGAATGCATTGGTGTAGCCTTTTTATCAAATCAATGATGCTGTATAACTGTTTCATGGAGTATGCCTTTTGGTTACACTTCTCAATCGTGAAGACGTCGTGAATACCTGACGTGTAGGCCTTATTTCAGGGTGGTACTTTTCAACCACTGAGTAAGCTGACTAGACGACTCAGCACCGCCCTTTATTTTTGTACTTTCGAACTTGCACCTTGCACTGATCACTGCTGACCCGTTGCTAAACTACCAAGATGCAAAAACATCACTTCCGTTTATAACCACGCAGATGGGATGGTCTCTGTTGAATCGGCAAATGTACCTAGAGTCATATTCGGTCTCCTGAACATATCGGGTCATGGAAGGTCCATTCTATCACATATATAAGATACTTTTCATTCACCATAGAATCCAGCACACTTCTCAATCATTCGTCGCACTCATAGAGAACAACATCCGATATAGTCAATCTAGTTGTATGGGTGGGTAAGTTCCGTATACCCCTACATACATCCAACCTGTATCATATACACAGTCCCACCGTCAATCCTCTGTGGGGTATCTGTTGACTAAGGCATCAGCATCGAACTTATCTCGAACTATAGACATTACCGTACATCAGGCTTTTAACCGACATTCTCTTCTCGAGAATTTGAGTTTAAACCACTGGCAACAGGTGCACCCCGAAGGAATCTATCCAATATCCGGGATAAGACAAAGTCCGAAACTCTGTCCTGCAGCCTACCGGTTCCAGTGGTACTAGATTATGTAGTTCTCTGCTTCGACCCATTTCAAATCATACCAAGGATAGGCCGAGGATACATTTGATAATAACCAGTTTATAGTCCCTATAGACTTAAGGTACTGATAGCAACTCTTTTACCCGGGATTGCAATAACATCAAGATGGGGTCTTTCTTTAAGGTTACATTCCCCGGCGATCTCAGTCGTGAAGCACAACATTCTCTAAAGAATTATGAAATATTTCTAAGAGTTTACTTAGGAGATTGTCCTTATTTATCCTTGTTATGTCACCTATTGTCTCTCAGCATTAAAAAGCATTGTTCAGGCTCTATTAGCGACCAAAGGTTGACAACATCTTATGAAGTAAGGAAGATTTGATGTTAATATAATGTATTATATTCAAATAATAAAACTATATTACGACTGACGTAACGGCTCATTAACTTATACTTTTCTACATTTGGTGTCTAAATTCAAAACGACCAGTCCTAAAATTGATCAGGCAACATATGTATATAAAGTAGAGGCCTTGAATGAATGTAGAAGAACTCAAAGATAGAACATCAAGGCATGCGCAATAACTTGTACCTTCGAAGTGTTCGTTAGAATTTCAACATAGTTGTGCATATATATGGGCAAAAGAATTTAGAGTATATATACTCTGAATTCTTATAAACAGGTCAAGTTTATAAGAATTCGCTGATAGGGATCTAAGGGCTACGCAGAGGTACGAGAGCTCATCCTAGATGAGATTCCTAAAAGGGCAGTTCGTCGGGACACTCTAATGAACAATAATATAGGTTTTTAGAACTGCCTCTTGTTGAAACTAAAATTTTAATTAAATGGATGATAACCTTTAAAAATGGATTATTACGCCCCAGAGAAAGCATTATATTAAGAAATTACTTTTTTTTAATTTGATTAACTGAATAATTATTTACGTCACAGACACAATTTCCTACAAAAAAAATCTCATTATAAAAATTACCCATTTTATATGAAAAAACTACTTATATAATTTAAATTAATTATCTTTTTTAATTAATCAACTATCTAGATAAAAGTGTAATATCATAGTTTATTAACTATATTTTGTAAGTTCACAAAGTATAACTTACCAGGACCTTTGGCGCCACCTTGTAATAAACGACCTAAACGGAATATAACTGCACGTTCATATTCCTGCACAACCTATAATTATAAACGACAAAAAAAAAAACAAAGATAAAAATAAAACAAAAACAAAAAACAAAAAACAACAAATGACACATTTTAACCATTAAATTTAACAAATTCATAATAATAAAAAAATTGTATATATGAAACAACTATAACTAACCTTGAAACACACAAACAAACTGAAAGGGGCTGTAAGGACAACCAATATAATTGACAAATATTGCAGTACTTTGCCAAATGTTGAGGCTTTATCGCTGGTATCAGCTTCAGCTAAAACATGAAAATGTATTATAAAATAAAAAACTATGAAAATGGAAATTACACAATAAATGTCAATTAAATGAACGGCTTATGATAAATGTTTATAATTTTATTAGCAAAAAACAAAACAATACGAAATAATTTGTAAAATATAATAAATTTTCAGATTCATACGTATAATAGCCTTAATACTGCTAGCACTACCGCAACTCATCTTACACACATACGAAGTACTTCAGATAATTCTATAACGATTAGTAAGGAACCTATAACCTCCGATTTATTTAAATATTTATTTCACTTGATAAATTTCACACTTAATATAATAATTTCTGTTAATAATTTTAATTGTTTTTCCTTAGTTGATGTGAATTTCTATTAGAGTAACAGCCTAAAGAATCCATTTTACTGGCGACCACTCGAATTCGAACACGTTGACCAATTGATTACAACTAACTGTAGTATATCTATTATACTCTAACTAATAAAATAAAATGGACAATTTCATGTGTAGAACTCATAAAAATCCATAAATTATAACAAAATAATTGTGTGTTCGTGTGTGTGGTATTTGTTAGTGGATAACAGCAATTGTTATAAACAAATTAGGGGGTGTATTGCGTTTGGAATGGGGGTCTGTCATTGGTTTTGTAAAAGTTGTTATAAATAGAGTTCAAATAAATCTATACACTGTTAGAAATGAAAGCTTTTTTGGTGTGAGTTATTTGAGCCAATAAATAATGTATTTAATTATTTGTTAATAATTCATATACCTTATATTTGTCTGCTATATTGTTTGGAGTTTGCGGAATTATTTCCTTATAACATTTCAATTATGCTTTTTTTGTTTTTACTACTTCAATCGATAAGAAGGTTTGTAATAAACAAATGTTATCAGTTTGTTGGCAAAATCGACAAACACTTCAATTACTAATATTTTAACTGCGACTATTCAATCTATCGTATATAACCTAATATAGTCTATGGTCTAGCTATAGTCTAATCTATAGCCTAGTCTATAGTCTAGTCTATCGTCTAGTCTATTAGTCTAGTCTATAGTCTAGTTTATTTAGTCTAAAGTCTATAGTCTAGTCTATAGTCTAATCTAGTCTATAGTCTAGTCTATCGTCTAATCTAGTCTATAGTTCTAGTCTATAGTCTTAGTCTATAGTCTAGTCTATGAGTCTAGTCTATAGTCTAGGTCTATAGTCTAGTCTATAGTCTCGTCTATAGGTCTAGTCTACACAGTCTAGGTCTATAGTCTAGCTCTAGTCTAGTCTAGTCTAGTCTATAGTCTAGTCTATAGTCTAGTCTAGTCTATAGTCTAGTCTATAGTCTAGTCTAAGTCTAGTCTATAGTCTAGTCTATAGTCTAGTCTATAGTCTAGTCTATAGTCTAGTCTATAGTCTAGTCTATAGTCTAGTCTATAGTCTAGTCTATAGTCTAGTCTATAGTCTAGTCTATAGTCTAGTCTATAGTCTAGTCTATAGTCTAGTCTATAGTCTAGTCTATAGTCTAGTCTATAGTCTAGTCTATAGTCTAGTCTATAGTCTAGTCTATAGTCTAGTCTATAGTCTAGTCTATAGTCTAGTTATAGTCTAGTCTATAGTCTAGTCTATAGTCTAGTCTAGTCTAGTCTACGTCTAGTCTATAGTCTAGCCTATAGTCTAGTCTATAGTCTAGTCTATAGTCTAGCCTATAGTCTAGTCTATAGTCTAGTCTATAGTCTAGTCTATAGTCTAGTCTATAGTCTAGTCTAGTATATAGTCTAGTCTATAGTCTAGATAGTCTAGTCTATAGTCTAGTCTCTAGTATAGTCTATAGTCTAGTCTATAGTCTAGTCTATAGTCTAGTCTATAGTCTAGTCTATAGTCTAGTCTATAGTCTAGTCTATAGTCTAGTCTATAGTCTAGTCTATAGTCTAGTCTATAGTCTAGTCTATAGTCTAGTCTATAGTCTAGTCTATAGTCTAGTCTATAGTCTAGTCTATGTCTAGTCTATAGTCTAGTCTATAGTCTAGTCTATAGTCTTCTAGTCTAGTCTATAGTCTAGTCTATAGTCTAGTCTATAGTCTAGTCTATAGTCTAGTCTATAGTCTAGTCTATAGTCTAGTCTATAGTCTAGTCTATAGTCTAGTATATAGTCTAGTCTATAGTCTAGTCTATAGTCTAGTCTATAGTCTAGTCTATAGTCTAGTCTATAGTCTAGTCTATAGTCTAGTCTATAGTCTAGTCTATAGTCTAGTCTATAGTCTAGTCTATAGTCTAGTCTATAGTCTAGTCTATAGTCTAGTCTATAGTCTAGTCTATAGTCTAGTCTATAGTCTAGTCTATAGTCTAGTCTATAGTCTAGTCTATAGTCTAGTCTATAGTCTAGTCTATAGTCTAGTCTATAGTCTAGTCTATAGTCTAGTCTATAGTCTAGTCTATAGTCTAGTCTATAGTCTAGTCTATAGTCTAGTCTATAGTCTAGTATATAGCCGTCTATAGTCTAGTCTATAGTCTAGTCTATAGTATAGTCTATAGTCTAGTCTATAGTCTAGTCTATAGTCTAGTCTATAGTCTATCTATAGTCTAGTCTATAGTCTAGTCTAAGTCTAGCCTATAGTCTAGTCTATAGTCTAGTCTAAGTCTAGTCTAGTTAGTCTAGTCTATAGTCTAGTCTATAGTCTAGTCTATAGTCTAGTCTATAGTCTATCTATAGTCTCAGTCTAGTCTAGTCTATAGTCTAGTCTATAGTCTAGTCTATAGTCTAGTCTATAGTCTAGTCTATAGTCTAGTCTATAGTCTAGTCTATAGTCTAGTCTATAGTCTAGTCTATAGTCTAGTCTATAGTCTAGTCTATCGTCTATAGTTAGTCATAGTCTAGTCTATGTCTAGTCTATAGTCTAGTCTATAGTCTAGTCTATAGTCTAGTCTATAGTCTAGTCTATAGTCTAGTCTATAGTCTAGTCTATAGTCTAGTCTATAGTCTAGTATAGTCTAGTCTATAGTCTAGTATAGTCTAGTCTATAGTCTAGTCTATAGTCTAGTCTATAGTCTAGTCTATAGTCTAGTCTATAGTCTAGTCTATAGTCTAGTCTATAGTCTAGTCTATAGTCTAGTCTATGTCTAGTCTATAGTCTAGTCTATAGTCTAGTCTATAGTCTAGTCTATAGTCTAGTCTAGAGTCTAGTCTATAGTCTCGTCTATAGTCTAGTCTATAGTCTAGTCTATAGTCTAGTCTATAGTCTAGTCTATAGTCTAGTCTAAGTATAGTCATAGTCTAGTCTATAGTCTAGTCTATAGTCTAGTCCTAGTCTAGTCTATAGTCTAGTCTAGTCGTCTAGTCTCTAGTCTAGTCTAATAGTCTTAGTCTAGAGTCTAGTCTATAGTCTAGTCTATAGTCTAGTCTATAGTCTAGTCTATAGTCTAGTCTATCTAGTCTAGTCTAGTCTATAGTCTAGTCTATAGTCTAGTCTATAGTCTAGTCTATAGTCTAGTCTATAGTCTAGTCTATAGTCTAGTTTAGTCTAGTCTATAGTCATAGTCTAGTCTATAGTCTAGTCTATAGTCTAGTCTATAGTCTAGTCTATAGTCTAGTCTATAGTCTAGTCTATAGTCTAGTCTATAGTCTAGTCTATAGTCTAGTCTATAGTCTAGTCTATAGTCTAGTCTATAGTCTAGTCTATAGTCTAGTCTATAGTCTAGTCTATAGTCTAGTCTATAGTCTAGTCTATAGTCTAGTCTATAGTCTAGTCTATAGTCTAGTCTATAGTCTAGTCTATAGTCGAGTCTATAGTCTAGTCTATAGTCTAGTCTATAGTCTAGTCTATAGTCTAGTCTATAGTCTAGTCTATAGTCTAGTCTATAGTCTAGTCTATAGTCTAGTCTATAGTCTAGTCTATAGTCTAGTCTATAGTCTAGTCTATAGTCTAGTCTATAGTCTAGTCTATAGTCTAGTCTATAGTCTAGTCTATAGTCTAGTCTATAGTCTAGTCTATAGTCTAGTCTATAGTCTAGTCTATAGTCTAGTCTATAGTCTAGTCTATAGTCTAGTCTATAGTCTAGTCTATAGTCTAGTCTATAGTCTAGTCTATAGTCTAGTCTATAGTCTAGTCTATAGTCTAGTCTATAGTCTAGTCTATAGTCTAGTCTATAGTCTAGTCTATAGTGTAGTCTATAGTCTAGTCTATAGTCTAGTCTATAGTCTAGTCTATAGTCTAGTCTATAGTCTAGTCTATAGTCTAGTCTATAGTCTAGTCTATAGTCTAGTCTATAGTCTAGTCTATAGTCTAGTCTATAGTCTAGTCTATAGTCTAGTCTATAGTCTAGTCTATAGTCTAGTCTATAGTCTAGTCTATAGTCTAGTCTATAGTCTAGTCTATAGTCTAGTCTATAGTCTAGTTTATAGTCTAGTCTATAGTCTAGTCTATAGTCTAGTCTATAGTCTAGTCTATAGTCTAGTCTATAGTCTAGTCCATAGTCTAGTCTATAGTCTAGTCTATAGTCTAGTCTATAGTCTAGTCTATAGTCTAGTCTATAGTCTATAGTCTAGTCTATAGTCTAGTGTATAGTCTAGTCTATAGTCTAGTCTAGTCTAAATTATATTACAATTTGCACCCTGGGATGTAATACTCAGGGACTAGTCCAGTCTGAAGTCCTGCAAACCATTAATTCGTCTCTGTGTAAAGTAAGTAATTTTCTAAGTTTGCATATGCATGTTGTAGTTTATATTTGTTGTTGTAATTACAGGTATAGTACTTGTCTATTCATACATTTAGTTTTATATACATTCATATAATGTCCAGCTTTTGTTGTTTGTTTTTCTAGTTGTCGTAGTTATGAAAAAGGATACATATTTGATAAGTATTTTAAAGCAATTACTTCTAGGAATTTACCATGTGTGTTTTATTCTAAAACGTTTTTTTTTTTTTTTTTGAAAAAAATGTAAAATTAAATTGAGGTTTTCCATTAAAAAAAAGTAAATAAACATACAAAACTGTATGCGTGTGTGTTGTCATTTTATAGTCAACACAAAAAAAAACGACTCATTAATACAATTGTTACCTGGAACATATTTGATTAAGGCGTCACCCTATACGAATACTATTTGGTTTTATTGAATTTATACAAAACTGATCAGTTGCCCGCAATCTATATAAAATGTTAAGGTTATTCAGTTTATAATTTAAATCTACTTCATGTTAACTGTTTGATAGGAAATTTTCACACTTATGTAGCAAATGAGAGGATAAAAATAATCTACAATTTCTTTTTGTAATTTACAACTAGTACTGCTAACTGAAACCATTATTTAGAATAACGAACATTTGTCTGTAAAAAGAAACTGAATGTGGGTTTAAGTTTAATATTCCAAAGTTGATGTAGGTCAACATTAGAATTTTTAACAGATGGTAACATTTGGGTTTTCCTGTTAACACGAGAAATATTATTAATT